GAATAAGGAAAGGCAAATGGAACCATAAAAAGCGCTGTCTCCAATCTCCATATCAACCGAATAAATTCCGCTTTTTGTCCGTTTAAATTTTCTAAAAAGAATGTCATGACAAAGATTGAACGATGAGCTTTCATGCAAGAATGCGCTAGATTCAACTTGGCATCTTTTATCTGTTTCTAATAAGTTTAAACTAGTGTTTCTGTTTATTTATGCAACAATATTATATGTTTTTTTTCTACATACTAGGTGTAAGACCCGTGTATTACACGGGTTTTAAAAAGATAATAATATCAAGTTGTAAACATTAAGCAAATTTTAATGTAATACTTTGTTGGTAATTTTGAATTTTATTACAACACAAGTGGCAGTAAACGATTATTATTTATTAGGATAGAAGATGGACATGACATCATATTTGCATTTTTATCCCTTAATAACATCATACTTTCATTTGTATCACATAATGGCATCGTACTTTCATTTCTAAACTTTCATCCATATAAATCGAACTGTAAATTAAAAAAATCGATTGAAAATATATAATAATGAATGGAATTACTAACATGTTGTGGATCTTGGTATCTTAGTGTCGATTTTTGAGAGTTTGATATTAACACCGTATGAAATTACAAATTCATATAATTGAAAGAGATACAAAATTCCATGAGTAGAAGAAAAACACAATTCAAAGTTTAATGAGATGCTAAAATTAAATCGCTATAACAGTCAACATTCCATATATTATACTATGACATTTATTCGAATTCAAAGAATTAGGTGTCAAATTGAAAGGCATTAAAAAATACGGTCAATATCAGCCAAAATTAAGGAATGTTTAACTGATTATATAAAAATATTAATTAGGTGACATTTTTCTAAATAATAAGGTATAAAATTTATTTTATTAATCATCAGATATTACAAGTGTATAATTATTACAACTATCGTGTTATGCAAATGGAGAAATATAGGAATTCAGTCAAGCAACATAAATGGTTTCTCATCCAGCAGACCATGTTGATAACGTTGAAGAGTAAAAATGGTAGGCATCAGATATGCTCCCTTTATTATCAATATAAGATTCTTAATAATGTTTTGTTCTGTGTTCATTCATTAGATGTTATTGTTACTTTTAATTTCATGCTTTTTAAACAAAACATATATATCTAAATTTTTTGACATTTGTAGCAACTATAAAATAATACAAAATTAGTTAATTGTTTTCGGACATTATAAATAAAATATTGTCTAAGGTTGAAACATAAAACATCACATTTTCATTTATTTAAAATTACTCACTAATTCTACATATGTCGCATATGAGACTTAAATGTTAACCTTAAAGAGGATTGACATTTCATCATATGGTTAGGCCAAAAGTACATTGGTCAAATTTTCATTTACTTGATACAAATTCTAATGTGAAATATTTAAAATAGTTTGTGAACTATACGAAGAAAAGTTAAGAGTAGCATATACGTAAAATTCTTTCTTTTATATATATATATATATATATATATATATATATATATATATATATATATATATATATATATATATATATATATATATATATATATTAACATTTGACGCCATCTATGAAAAATAAAATGTTGAGGCTACTTATAGAAAATAAAATTTAGATTTTACGTAAAAAAATATTTATTTTATAGTGAATTTGTTATGTTTATAGTAGACATCTTTTATAATGTGTGGATAAAACATAATATTCTTAAATATAAGATGAAAATTAAAACATTCGACACCTTAATACTATAAACATAATTTTTTATTTATAAATTTTAAATAAATAATAAATTAATTGGTTAAATTAAAAATATAAAAGGCTAAAAGTGTGTTTTGAAATTATTTTATTATATAAGGGTGTATCTTGAAATTGTTTTATTACATAAACGTGTGGGTGATGGGTACTGTTCACAAGCTTCACAAAATCAATTTGTTCATTATATCGAACAGACCATTTCTATGTATACCGCGTTTAGCAAAATAGTGTATCGAAGTATTCTTGGCTTAGTGGTTATAGTGTTGGGGTGTTTCTAATGAGGTCCTACTTCTATTCCGATATGAAGCATTTTCTTTCTTACATTACATTTTATTATTATCAATATAATAAGCTGACGTGGCAGCCACGTCGTTCCAACTAATAAAATGGAAAAAAACCTGAAAATGCCATGTGGAAAATATTTATGTGAAAATAACTAGAAAATTACATGTTGCGAAATCAATATAAGAATGACATGTGGCAAAAAGTTCTTTATTTATTAGAAAGAATTTCCAGTGACGTGGACGTGGATTTTTGTTATATAAACCGACAAAAATGATAACAAACTATTACATAATATATGTCACTAAAAAAAATCCACACCGTTACATAAATTCTTAACAACTTACAAGTTCACATTAACCCTTTGAAATAAAGCATCTACAATGGTGAGTTTAATGAGAGAGTTGAATGAGGTGACGAGTCTGTGTGTCATTGAATAGATGAAACTCTACCATTGTGAGATGCCACTTTGACATTCAATAAATTTGGAGTTCAATGGTCATTTTGACATTTAATAGATGAAACTCTACCATTGTGAGATGTCATTTTGACATTCAATAAATGAAAGTTTTTAATTCTTAAATATTTATTATAAATTACATTTTGTAACATTCTATTGAATTTTGTAGAGTTCAGTGCATTGTAGAGAAAAATAATAATAGAGTTATATGGATTGTAGAAAGATGATGTGACAATCCATTGAACTCTATGAAGTTCAATGCATTGTGGATGCCCTTATACCAAATGAGAAAATATCCTCTTATATTTTCTTCTTACTTATTCTCCTATTCATTAGATCAAGACAAATATTAAAATCAATAGAAGAGATTAAGAGAAAATTAGTGATATTCATAACAACTTATAACTTCTCTGCAATTTGGAGAATTAAGTAATCTAACCATTTTATAACATTTATTCGAAGAAAATAACTATTTTTTTAGCTAAACAACCACCTAGTCCGGAAAAGGCATTCCGGTACAAGAAAAAACATTTTTTTGATCGATTCCGGAACAACATTCATGATTCCAGACCAACATTCTGGATTTCAGAAATAAAAAACTCCGAAATTTCAAGAACAAGTCCAGAATCCGATAAAAACAATTCCAGAATTTCGACAAAAAAATTGTTTTTCTTAAATTTAACAAAAAATTAAACAAACATAGTAATGTGAACTATATATGATATCAATGTATAAAATTAGACATTTTATTGGAAAACGGTGACATTAAACATTTCAAAATGTAGCATTCGGAATCCCAAAAAAATAAAACGATTTCTTTGAAAATTAAAAAAAAAGAACTGGGATATGAACAATACTCCGGAATGAGGGCATTCCGGAGAAAATGGTTATTTTTCAAAAACTGAAAAAATGATTATTTTCTTTGAAGACCTAATTTGTAATGGTTAGATTACTTAATCCCCCTTTAATTTTTTCTATACCAAATATATTATTTTGTATAATTAATTTTGAATTAGTTATCATATTATTAAAACAACTATTTAATTAAATGAAAAACATGGCATGACAATTGGTAAAGAGAAAGTAGATTGTGACAATTATATCTACATATATTATAGTGTCTGCTTTTTACAAATAAAACTTCAACATAAGAAAAATATGAAAGTGACGATGCTTCTGTCTTTATTGAGTAGTGGTGGGGAAATTTTATAAAAAAAGTTACATAGCAATTTATTATTTTTTTTAGAAAACATATATAAACAAGTTAACAAAATGTTAAAAAGTTTTTGATAAAATTCATAAAAGTAAATAGATTTGGATAAAAATTGTTAAAAGGAAAATTATATGGGTGTGATGGGAATCATGATCTAAGATGGATTAACTTAGGCCATAAAAAATTAATTTATTGTAATTTATAAAATAGTTTATAAACTAGGTTATTGATAAACTAGTTTGATATAACTTATTGATAAGCTAAAAATTAGTTTATAAGTTAGTTTGCTAAACAATGTCTTATGTAAAGGATATGAGCAGTAACATTTGGGTTGGACTCTAACTCTGTTGTTGAAAAAAAATCGTCAATAATGCTAGGCCAGAAACTTATTGTTTAAATATTGCGTACAAAAATGATAAACACTTAAAAAAATTATTGTTTATTTAGTGATAAATTCCTAATAATAATAATAATAATAATAATAAATAATAATTATAATAATAATAACTAGAATTTGTCCCGTCCATGCTTCGCGGCGGACACAACCGAGGCCGAAATTGCGTAACTACTGCAAATTTTGTATTAGGTACGAACTATTTTTGTATTTTTTATACATATGGACCGTTTCTGCAAAAAAATTGCATAAGGAGGTTTTCTGTAACTTACAAGGATATTTTTTGTAATTTTTTTTTCTACACAACAGTTAGATCTGCCAACATACAAAAATGTTAAACATGGAAACTCTTTTTGTAAAAAACACCAAAGGACCTTTTTGTAAATTAAAAAAAAATAGTAACTTAATATGCCAATATTAAAAAGTTTTATGGTAAAAATCGTAAAAACTTTACTTGACTATATCTAAACCATTTTTATTTAATATATATAATATACTAACCCGTGTATTACATGAGTTGATTCAAAAAAATATTAAAATGTAAATAATAAGTATTTTTTAAAATAAAATTTTGAAATAAGAAACAGATTAATTGCAATTTAGTATAATATTTATTACATTTGATAGTTTACATATATAAGTATTATGTGGCTTTTTAATTTTAAAAATTGAAAAAAAAACCATAAATTAACATGTAGATATTATTTATTTAAAAAATATCACAAAATAATAAATGTCAAAACTCATTAGAAATTGACATGTGACAATACTACCTTCAATTTATTAAAGTAGATAATAACATCGTTTTCGACTTGAATCCAAATTTGGTCTATTAATATTTAAGAATTTGAGATTTGGTGTTGGGTTGACCTAAGCCCGTTTTATCTAACCTGACCCGGCCTAAATGTGGTTATCGTATATATAAATGGAGGCTTCACCTTTACAGTCTCATTCTTATTGAGTCTTCACCGATTCAACCGATTTATCTCTTGTGAATACTCGTAAGTGATCTTTCTTACGAATTTATCTAATTTTTAGATAATTTTGTGGAATGCACGCTTTATTTTGCAAAACATGACTTAGGGTTGGGAAGATTGGGGTTTTTTTTGTTGAAATCTGATCGTCTTCTTTCAATTACAAGCAGGTGTTTGTAAGTGAGGTAAGAATGGCAACGACGGAACAACCTAAGGTAGTGACTGAAGAAGCTAAGATTGATCTGTTCGAAGATGACGATGAATTTGAGGAGTTTGATATCAATCGAGGTAATTTATCTTCCCTAACTTGGACAACAATTTTCCTATTCTCCGTACAATTTCTCTGTTCCTTTTGCTATATAAGTAATCCGTAACTGGAACAACATCAAATCTCATGATGAAAAGCTCATATATCTTGCGTAGCTGCTGATTGATTGTTTCTTGCTTTTGCCTAATTGTTAGCTATTGCATAGTGTTTGGTTATTAGTAGCAATAACACAACAAAGTCATTATCGTTGAATCTTGAATAAACACATTCATTATACTTGCTTTCATGAAAACTAAATTTATTCATAAACTCATCAAACCATCTTTTCCACTTCCGAGGAGGTTGTTTTTGGCAATACAAATTGTTGTTCATCATCTAATTTTACACCAATTGTTGTTAGTTGTTAGATGTTACATGTAATTTTAAATCATACGGTGTTGTTGATGGGCAGTGTGGGATGGAAAGGAAGAAGGAAAAGAACTTGCTCAACAATGGGAAGATGATTGGGATGATGATGATGTCAACGATGACTTCTCTCTCCAGCTCAAGAAAGAGCTTGAAAACAATGCTGACAAAAAGTGAGTTGAATCTACATATCTAGCTTTGTTTTAGGACTTGAAAATGGCTTTGTTTGCCTGTTACATTTCTCTTCAACTATAAAATTGTTCAACTCTAGAACTTTTGTGGTTTGATCTTGACTATGTTTGTTGATCAATAGATATTAACGGATGGATGTTTATGACTTCCATTTGTATGAATCTTTTGAATACATAAACGAGGAGGATGACATGACAAAAATTAAATGAAAACTATGCCACATTCACATTTTACAAGTTTTGGGTTACTCATTACCAATATAGATGATTAAGAATATGATACATTAAGAGGTAAAACATATAGTAACTATTGATATTAGTAAAAAGAAAAATAGGTTGCTATTTCTGTTAGTTTTCCTACCAAAAAAAAAAAAAAAACTTTTATAAATCAGAAAATCACTAAACTATCGAAGGGACGCACAACATGGATTCCGTCCACCCTAATATTAACTTAATCAACTAACATGTTAGATGAAATATTTATTATAAGTTTGATTTCAATATACGATAGGAGTTTTAATAAAAAAAAATATTCAATAGCAAGTTAAATGTAATATTTAATTTTTAAAAGAAACATATTATTATTTTATACTCTTCAGTGTTATTTCAATTTTAAACATATTTGATAATTAGAAAACCTTTTAGAGCATCAGGTATGAGCCTTCAAAACGTCGTTACTGCCAATGTGGACGAGCAACAACGGCGTCTTAACGAGAAGAACACCGCCCCGGCTCTCGTTATGGGGCATTCGGTCATAACGACGACGAGCTGATACAAGGAATTTGATTGGCTAATCGTTTTTTGCCCGTTGGGGTTTGAAGCAATATAAAAAAAACTAATTACTTTTTTTACCTATAAATTCATAACATCTACGTTTTTCAATTCACACAATTCCCC